CCAGTCTGAAGATCTTTCTGTCGAGTTCAGCTTTTTGTTTTGTAGCCTTTGGTAGGCTTTCTTTTGTAGCCTGTACGGTTAGTGTATATTTCTCTTTTGACTGTACTGTGACTGTTGTATTATATGTGAATTATATTATCCGCTGCTGTTTCTTTTCTGTAATGTAATTATCTCTGGCTCTGGATATATGTATGTATGGATTGTTATGAGGAAACCGATAGAAAGAAAAGAAAAGAAAAAAAAAGAGGCAATAGAACGATCAGATGAATCCTTTCGCTACACGGATCTTGGGGTTATCATAGGCAAAACCGGCTGGGGTTGACCAATGGAAGGAGGGGGGATATCCACAAGCCCCATGTCACCCGGGGGAGAATTAAGGTTTGGGATCTGCAGAGAAGAACGAGAGGCATTGGTTGAAATCATAGGAGGGTCAGAAGAAGTAATAGATGGCGGGATTGGAGGTTTTTTAAGAATGGTTGTAGGTTGAGGCTGGGATTTTTTCGGATTTCGGCTGAAGCTACGACCCCGAGCACGCTGGGTTTGGACCGAAGGTGGCTGAGGGTTGGGGTTCTTGGAACATTGTTCTGGGCTATGATAAATAGAACAACAAAAAGAGCAAGGGGATGGCTTCCAGTCATATAGAACAGAAAGTGGCGTAATCTTACCATCAACAGAAATGAAAATTTCGTCAGGCAGAGGGTTAGAGCACAAAACCTGAACACAAACCCGGGCAAAAGTGAGGCGCGTTTTAGCCGCCGTGAGAGCGTCCACCACCAAAGGTATTCCAACACAGCTCGCTATTTTTGATATCCCTTCCAGAGTCCAACAAGAGAGTGGTAAATTTTTTATTTTTATCCAAAGAGGAATGGTAGCAAAATCTTCACGCTTAGGAATGAATTCCGGCGACCATTTTTGTAGAATGAAGGGCTTCCCAAAGAAGAACCATGGTCCACCCGACCAAGCCGTATCATAATCTTCCGGTGATGAAAACTTCAATAGAAAGAACCCGTCATCAAGCGTTAAAAGAGAAAGTTCCCCTTTTAGTTTCCAAGTCCGCTTGATCACAGACAAAAGTGCTTCGTAGAAGGGCCTTCTGCCAATCGAATATCCGACAAGGGAGAGCGACCACTCCGGAGCTCCAGCATCAAACTGAGATTTAGTGAAATGAGCCGTAAAATTTTTTGTCGGGTGATGAACTAAAGAGCTCGAGAAATCGTGGGAGACAGGGGATTGAGAAGAAAAAAGAAGCTTCCAGTGCAATAGGTCTTTGGCAGAGGTTGCCAAAGAGGTGGTAGAGGAAGGCAAAGGAGGGAAGTCGGCGGAGGAGGACATCTCGACGAGGCGTCCTCCTCAGGGGGGCGGAGAAGAAAAAAGCGTGAAAGGTAGAAGAAACCCTAGCAGAGCAAAATCGCACTTACCCGTCGCAGAGCAAAATAAAAGTTCTACAGTCAGTCAATGTACTTCACTACATTCTTCTAGGTCCGTTTGGCGATACCTCCAAAGGCAAAGCTGTATCAACACTCTGGATCTTCTTGGAAATGACCTGAAAAAATCTACTATTCTTAGTGTGGTAAATAAATTCTTTTTTTAGGTTTATTTGTGTATGTTTATTTCACTACAAGTAAAATTTAGATTTTAGGCGGCCATTTTCCTCTTAAAAATGTGGAAGATTAACCAGAAAAATTATTTTCTGACATATTTTATTTTGTCGAAAATATTTTACGGTGGAAGATTTCTGCCAGAATCATTTCAGATGAATTTCTCGCAAATTTCCAATGGAATGTTGTCCCAAAATGACGTATTTAAAAAACAAAATACCAACGGAAGAACCACAGGAATTTTCTGAGATTTGGTCTGTCAAAATTCCGCCCGGTAATGCTGGCAAATAAGTCCCACTGGAAATGCCTTAAAAAAATCGTTTTATCATCGTTTCCGATGGAAAAAAGATTCAAAAATCCCTTGAAAACTGATAGCACAAAAAAAAATCATCTTGACTTATATTTTACAACACAATATTTCTACAATCACATACAAATAAAATAGTTAAAGTAGCCTCACATTTCAACATTGCACAAAAATATTGATGCTTAAGTAATAATGTATTTAATTTAAAGCAAATGTTTTACAATTACCAAATATTTCTGCATTCAGTTCTTATACAATATAAACTCAACATAAAAATTACAAACACATATAGTCTAGCAAGAATCTGTATTGACGTTCTCCTCTTCAATGAACGCTAGCTTCTTTTCATTAAACTGCTCCTTCATTCTCTGCAGCTAATCTAATATTTCACTTTGCTACATCAACATCTACACATCAGCTTGCGATTTTAGGACATGCTATAAATCTATAGTAATGGCATCCATTTGTAGTCTATACAACTCTCCTGGCTGCTTGAGGTGAATCTGGAGGCACTAGAGGACAGTGTAGGCTTGCGAGCTTAATCCATAAACCCATCCCTTTTGTATTCCCCTACCGCCTATGACCAAATGTGACAGTTAGAATAATCTTCAAATCCCCAGGAGGATCCCTCACCCACTCCAGGCTGGCTCTCTC